TGGCCCAACCGAAAAATAAACATTAGCCCAATCCCCTTTTTTCTTTTCTTTTCTTTTTCTTCTTCTTCTACCCTTCCGGTTCTTCTTTTCCTTGCCTGGCCGGCTGAAGCTCCTCGCCACCGCCAACCATGGCTGACATGGCGGCTGCCGGCGCCGCCACCGCCGGTCGCCGGCCATTTTTCGGATCACAAAATTTCACCAAAATACACCCCCTCACTCGATTTTTCGCGTAGGTTTCATTTCCGGAGTTAGTTTTTACAAAAGAAGAAAGAAAAGTGGCCAAATGGCCAAAAAAACAGCTGCATTTTTTATTATTTTTAGACCTTTAAACCTTCACCAAAAATTCATAAAAATATATTACAATACTCCTTATAATCTTTACATTACAAATATAATCTTAGCTAACAAGAAAACAACAACAAAAGACTACATTAAGACAAAACAGTTTCTAAAATTCATTTTTTTTTGTTTTGGCATTTCATCAAACATTTAGCATGCATGCACAAAAATCATCTTTCTTTTCCTCAGTCTAGTCTTGAACTTGCCCAACAACATCACAACAATAAAACCAGCAAGAGGAAGGGACAAATCATCAACTAAACATGCTTCAAATATAACTACTAAAATAGAAAGAAAAAGAAAAGGAAATCGGAAAAAGAAAAGGAAAATTACCCCAGCTGGAATTACGGTCCGTGGGCTAGAGTTTGGAGGAAATTCCAAGCTATGATTGTCCAATTGGTAGCTGCCCCTCTTTTTTGTTGTGCGTGAGTGTGTTGGGAAAAAAAAACCGAGAGGGAGAGAGTGAGGTTTTGTATATTGTTCACCAAAATGAGAGGGAGAGTTGAGAGAAGAGCCGAGAGTGTCTTTTTTTTTTTTTTTTGTCCCCCCCCCAGCCGAGAGAAACCATATTGGGAGAGAAAAAGAGGAGCTTGTGTGTGTATTTGGTCCAAATGATTATTTTTTACCAGATGACAAGAAAGTTGAGTGTAGGAATGGGTTAAGTGTTTTTTGGTAGGAAAAATGATGAAAATGTGTAAGTTTTGTAATAATTTGATTTTGATTTGATTTGATTTTTTATTTTTGATTTTTGTTTTTTTTAACTTTTTTTTTTGTTTTTTTTTGTTTTTTTTTCTAAAATAAACCTGCAAAAATGAGAAAATTACACATTAATAATAATAATAATAATAATAGATAACTTATTAAATAGATAAAAATTTAGGAAAATATTAAAAATTGACAAAAATTTGGTGTCTACAGTCATATCCATCATACAACGCATGTTTTGGGTAGAAAAAATTAGGAAAAGAAGGGCTAAGTCACGCAACTAGCTTTTGTTAGGGTAAGGGAGTGCCTTAGGCTTTGCCTTTGCCTTCTCCCTTATCAAATGTGACCCCCGATCCCTTTCTTTGGTTACGTAGACTTAAAAGTTCTTGAAAAGGGTTTTTGTTTACTTTACTTCCAAAAAATCACTTTTTGGGTGATTTGGTACACCCTAACTCTATACCAAGTGGCGACTCCATTTTTCCACTCAAAAACCCTTTTTGAACTTTGTTTGGCCAAATCGTCGCATTTTCAAGTCCCATGGCCTTTTTATTTTCACTTTCACACATGTTCACATACCACACACCACTACTTTCACACCACATTCAAAAAGTGGGGCGCGACAAATAAAGCACGTAACACTTTTCACACACTTGACACTTACCAAGTAATATAGGAGTAGTGCGCAATTCAAATGTTTAGGCGTCCGCAGTGAGATCCTCTTGAAGGTCTCCTTGAGTGCCTGAGCAAACAATAATTAACTATCACTTACTATCACTTAAAACCCCTAATTATCAAGGAAGATTGTACAAAGAAAATATCACAAGAATGAGCCTTAATTCCCTCGTAAATCGAGGCTGAAGAGTGGGGTTTAAATATACAAGGAAAATCTGATTTTCATTTTTAAAATCATTGGCTGGAAACAAGTAGGTATGAAATCATATAAATCATTTTTCAAACGAGCAATCAGAGACGGACTTTTAAAAGTCACGTCACAATCCGGCCAAAAGTTGGCCGGATATTCGGCCGGATTGTCGGTCGGATTCAAGGCAGTGAGAAATCCCTATTTTTTTTCAACTTCCCTTACCAGTCCAGCCAACTATCCAGCCAAGAACTAGGCAGATATACGGCCAGATTCTTTGAAAATTTTCCCGCGCTAAAATTTTATAAAATGGTCAAGAATATCGAATTTGAGGTGCAATATTTGAAAAATTATATCTCACTCTCTGTAAATCAAAAATTGGTAAACTTGGTACCGTTGAAAACTACTTCCAAAGTTCTAAAAGTTCCTAGAAGACACTTTTCCATGATTCTAAATGGAAGACATCCAAATTTTGACTTAAAGGCGCTAATTTGGGCTATCAAAACAGTTTCGGGGTTGGTTTTTGGCAAACTTTGGAAATTCGGCAAATTTCATAGAATGCGAACTAGCCTCTAAAATTTGGAACTTAATTAGAGTTACAATTAAAGTTTAAAATACCATAAATGGAACAAGAATCAGAGTTTTGAGTGCCAAGATATAGCAGCTCAAAGTCGGCCAAAAATTGAGACTGTTAGGCAATTTTCTAAGTTTGGAAGAAAAATTTTGGTGACTTATTTGTATGTCAAAACAGTCTTGGATCGACACTAAAATTGGTACAATTCAACTTCCATATGAGGGCTACTCCTCTACCAAAGTTCACTTAAAAATTCACAAGGGAAGGTAGCTAACTAAACTACCAAAGTTCAAGGAAAACCGAAGACAAATCTGTCTTCAAGTTTCCGTTTTCTTTTTCGAACATTTGGCCAATGAAATCCATTAAAATCTGGTTCATTTATGAAACAAAGGTCTAAGAAACATCCAAAATATATTTGGTAGGTGAATAACACCAAGGGTCTCAAAATAACAAGTCCCATTCAAGATAAGTCATTGGCTAGCCCAAAATTATGGTTTTCTTTCTTTGGAGCAGGTCTGTAATTCAGCCACAACTCACTCAATTCAACTTGGAATTGGGTGTGATTAGTGGTGTTGGAAAATAAATTCATAAAGCTACAATTTCTCAGAAGATATCGTTTTGAAATTCTATCCATAACTAGCTCATATTCGAGCGACAAGTTGCAGTACATAACAGGTTTTCCAACACAGCAGAGAAACAGGACAGGTGAATTTAAAAGGCTGGTACGGTTCACTCAAGTGGAATCAGGGGATGCATTTTATACCGTTAGAAAACGGAAAGTGTCTAGCTTCCAATGCCACAAATGGCACTTGATTTTAACATCGGAACAAAGAGTTATGATCATTTAAACTTCTCTGCCAGAGTACCTCTGTACACGTTTCCCAGCTTTGAAACCATTTAAAAAATTCAACTTTTACCTAACCAAATCAAGTGATTTTTGGTGAAAACCTTCCACACAACCTATACAACATATCTACATAAACATCAAGTCAATTGGACCACAAAAAATCGCACCAAGAGGCACGGCAAGGACAGGGTAGATTCGGCCCTTCTTCATGCATCACTTCATTTGATTTTCTTTTCACTTTTTCCACTTATCTCTACTAGATTAACACTTAATCAACACAAATAGCATCCAAACTCATCAAATCAGATCATCAATTCCATTGTGGGATTTCATAGAGCCCACTCACCTGATTTTCAATTATCCAAAGCTACCCACATGAAGCTACAAGCTTCTAAGTGTAATCTAATTCACAAAAGCTAAGATTCAAGGGTTGGATGATTAGCTACCTCCTTAGATGATGAACTCAGAAATTTTTGGTCCTTTGAGCTCCAAGAAAACCATGAGAATGAAGCTCCTTTCCTAGCTCAAGATGATCTCCAAGTTATTTGCAAGTTGTGGTAGGAATTTGAGAGGATTTGGTGCAAGAAAGTGAGGTGAAAGGATGAAGCTCTTTTCCTTCTTCTTTGCTTGAGATGGCCGACCAGCATAGGAGAGAAAAGAGGGAGTGAAAATCTGATGGTAAAGCTTCTTGGAGAAGCTTGGTAGTTGGAGTCTTTAATGGCACAAAAGTCAACTCTCAATAGTGCGCGTACGCGCGCATTTCGTGCCCGTTTTCTCTTGGATTTGTTTCACTTGTGTACTAAACCTCTAATGCAATTCCTTTATCACTATTATTATCCACTCTTAGTAGTCTAACAATAATTTCTAAAATCCTCCAATTAGTCACGCACGCGAAAACACGAACTTCCAACTTGTGCGAGATAAAGCAAAATTTCTAAGAAATTCTTACAACGATAGTATAACTAACTAATACTTGAGTACTTAATCATTAAATAACCATTTTAGTAATTAAACCATGGGTACTCACACATATTGATTCCTTAAGCCCCCAATTTGTTGCGTGGTGCAATTTTCGAAAACTTTTGGCGCGAACATGATATAAGCTTAATTAGAACTCATTCGCCTCTAATTCCTCAATTAACTTTTCTTGGTCTACTATCGATCATTCTTAATTCTCCAAAAATTATTAAATTCTCGATTCAAATATAGTCTCGAGAAACGTGTACCCGCTATTCCTCACTTAAACAAGCCTCCGAAAAATTAAATTTGCTAACAGGACGTTCTAAAAACATAAGGAAGACATTGTTCCCTACAATGGATTTAAAATGGTTGAAAAATAAATTATTCGGAGAAAACAGGCAGATAAATATTTAAATAAACTAGTAATATTCGATAAAAATAAGAAAATTTTCGGGTCATCCCAGTAACGTTGACTCCTTACTATGGTGTGAGCTCATATCTTCAACATGGCTTGTTTCTTGTACAAACTGGCTCTCAACTCCTTTAGCCACAGTTGTCCTTTCAGTCCCAGCCTTTTTAGTGCTTCCAGCACCTTTTGGCACCTGGGTTTCCTGTGTTCCATCCTGTGCAAAAAAGCTCTCTTTCTCCTTCCACTCCCTTTCTTGAAAGCTCCAATGAAGTCTTTGAGGGTTGTACACCGTACCATCCTGTTTTTTCTATGTTGAGTTCCTTGGGTTACCAACTCTTAGCCATGGACCATATTGATTGTCCTTCTTCCCCATGCCAGAAGGGGTTTGCTTATTGCATGTTCTTTTACTATGTCTTATAATTCCACAATTGTAGCAAAAATCAGGGCATCTTTCATATTTAAAACTAACCCATTTAGTTGCTTCTCCAACTTTGACAATGGTACCTCTCAGCAGTGGTTGGCAAATGTTAACAACTACTAGGAGTTTCAAGTGTCTCCCTTCTTTACCCCCTGTCTGGGGGACTATCACCTCTCGTACCTGGTGAAAGATTGAACCTATCTTCTTCCCTGCCTCTTTCGACATCCAATGAACAGGCAAGTTCCATACTTGGATCCATAAGGGTGCTAGGCAGAATACCTTATCATCCTCTTCTATTCTTTCATACCATTCATTTAGCACCAGAAGTTCGTTATCCAGTAACCAAGGTCCCCCATTCAAAGTCCTCTCCCTGTCTCTCTCATCTGGTATAATAAACTGAAACTTATTCGGACCAAGTTCCACCACTCTCAATTCTCTTGGGTAAGACCATGCTATTATCACAAAGTTTTTGACCCCCGTGTATTTAGAGAATTTCTCCCCCATAACTTTCCCTGTCAGACTTATTTTGCATTCACTTATCCCTCCTACTATCTCCTCAGAACCCAGGCTAGTTGCTTGGAGTTCTGCACTCGATAGGTCAAAGTTTTGCATAATATCAGCCAAATCATCCGCCATAATAGTGAACAAACTGATGGTACCCACACAATAATCAGAGTCTGGGTGTACCCAACAGCTGAATAAGAAGGCGACGAGCTACTTTATTACCCTAGGGCCAACCACCCAGAAAGGCAGAGAATGAAAAGAAAAGAGAAAAAGAAAAAAATAGGCTAGACGCAAGCTAGAGCTGGATCAAGACAGTTTATGACCAATAAATTACCTGCCGCAGCTTAATAGGGTTTCCAGAAGGTTTGGAAGCTGTGAATCTGATGTTGAGCTTGGTCAATCTCTTGTTTCCTGCTGTGCTTGCATCCTTTACTAAAAGGCCTCTGCTCTGCTGGTACCATGGCATTTGCTTCTCTGGAACCTTGCGTGAAGAACCTGTTCCATAGTGTACTTATTTCTAGAAGATGTTGTTACTAATCCGACAAGATTTTGCTTTTTGGATAGTTTAATGCTGCTCAGAAAGTCAAGAATATTGTGGAGTAAAGAATATTCAAAGTTTCAAAAGTTGTACTTTTGGTTTGTCTGAACTTCCACCCCAGAAAGAGAGAGCTCTCTTCTAGAGAGAGAAGTTGCCTCTACTTAAAGAGAGGAATTTTTGGTTAGTTTTGATTGAATGATCAGAATTGACTACTTGGCCACATTTGATCAGAATTGATCAAAGTGGATTTTGATACTCCCTTTGTTCTAATTATTTAGTCATGTTTCTAGAATCCAACTTTTTAAGAATAGTGGTTTGATTGTAATGTTTATACTTCTCTTTTGTAATTTTAACCTGACAAAGCCAAAATTTAAATTTAAATTTAAATAATAGCATGAAAAAAGGGTTATATTGGAAAGAGAGTGTAAAAGTGTTTTGATTTTTGCAACATCAGAAATATTTTAGAACATCTCAAAATAGGAAGTATGACACATTTAATGGGAAAATGGAGTAAAAAATTTTGTGTAATTTTAAATTTGAATATTGGTATAGTTATATACTTTTTTAGAATAAATTAATTGAAACAACATGCCACCAAAGTGACCTCTATTATAAAAATTAATTTATTCTAAAATATAACTAGTTGGATACTTACAATTTTATGAATATTGATCGATCCAAAGGAAGGTCAATGTTTAACAAAATTATACATGCACTTATGGTAATAAATATGTGATGATTATTCAACTTTTTTTTACATGTGAATTATAAATTGGTCCGAAAAAAATTTTATGTTTTGAGATGTTATTATTGTTAGTGTTTATTACTACGCCAAGATATCATTTAGAAGTTAATATTTTTATTCAAACACAAAATATTAATGAAACATTGGTATTTTGAAATAGAGTTACCTTTATTTGAATTTATTATTATTTTGATGTATGTGGGTTTGTTTTAATTATTCATGTTGTCTGTTCAGTTATGAATGAACTTGCAAATATAACTACCAACATCAATAATATTCTTATGGTGAATGGCATAAATTTCAAGTATTGGAAAGAAAATCTCTTGATAGGTTTTGAAATCATAGATCTCGACTTTATATTAAGGGTTGATTCCTCTCCACGTCTTATAAATCAGAGTACCTTTGATAAAAAGAGGAATAAGAAAAGGTGGAAGAGATCAAATTGTTTATATTTAATGATCATTAAAAAATCCGTTTCAAAAGCATTCAAAGGAACAATACCAGAAATGGTAACTACCACTAAGGCGTTCCTTTAGGACATTGAAAAAGGTTTGTAAAAAATGAAAAAGCTGAAATAAGTACGCTGTTGGCATGCCTAATTTCAATGAGAGATAGTGGTAAAGATAATATCAGAGAGTATATCATGGAGATGTCTTATTTTACTTCTAAGTTGAATGCACTTAAGTTAGTACTCTCTGAAGAATTACTAATGCATCTAATTTTGATATATCTTCCTATATAGTTTAGCCAATTTCAAATGAGTTACAACTGTCAAAAATCACACTACATAGAGGAAGAGGAAAGATTGAAACAAGATCAGACATGTGACGACCCCACCTCCCCCTAGGGCGTGCTCAAGAGTTTGGCGGACCGCCTACCCAACTCTCGTCAGGACTCACTCATGTGCCAGAAAATTTACAAAATAACGACCTCAACAATAAGAGCAATATCAATTCCAACCTTAGATGTATACAATTGGGGACATCATATGCCCAACCAATCCATAAATATAGCCGGACTTCAAGCATACAAAGTAAAAACCAAGCGAATCCGATATGGAGCTAAAAAGTACTCACGCAAGCAACTAACAAAATTTAGACAAAGACTATGGCTTCTCCAACTCCCACTCTCACGTTCTCGTCCCCTGTAAGGAGAACACACTAAAGGAATAAGTTTTTACCCAGTGAGGTTCCAAGAATCATGCAAGTAAACTAGTAAGCATGATATAATTCACAGGATATCAAGAAACGGGTCAAATCCAAATAGATCATGCAATAATATACAGTAAAGAGCACATTCATGTCAAAAGATATAGTCTGCTCTTAAGAGCAGGTTCTACTGTAGTATGTTTAGGGACTGTTGACACTCCGTCAACTAATTATAATGTCCGTAGACTACCACATGTCTCCAGTCTCGTGTCTACAATCATTCCTCTATACCGGGCTCACATGTCAATCAAGTACCTATGGTTTGTCAATCTCTTCGATCAATCTCTTGCCGACTTGATTTGACTAATTAGCCATGGCCATGGGGTTGAGTTTAAAGCTCCAAGTATTCAAGTATTCATGATCTACAATTGAAGTCCCAAGTACTCAAGCATTCGCGAGTGGACTCGTTGGCTGTCACTCAACGCTTACGTAAGTAATGATTGGAGCCGTTAACTGTCACCTAACACTTCGTATCAAGCATGTCACGAGTTCAAATCACGAGTAAACAGGTTAGGAAATTCTTCCTTTACCCAAAGTTGTATAGCTTACCCAACCGTGCTAAGACTAGTCTCAAGTAAGAGTTCCTATGAAAGCCCAATTCAGTTGTTACTAGCTTACATTCACACATACGCATGAGTAACTCAAGGCTGTCTAACTTACCTGACGTCTCGGATAAGGGTGCTAGCAAAGAGCCCAATTCAACCACTGCAAAGAGATATACAATTGACCTACATTCATGCACATGTACATGTAAATCCGCATGCAGGGTCATATAATTCAACTTTATAGAGGTCGAGTGCAAATAAGTATACATTCACCTAGCCAAGATCAAGTCAAGTAAGCTCAATATGTCAAGTATTTCAAGAATTTCAACTATTTCAAAGTCAAGTGTTTCAAGTCAAACCACAAGTCACATGTATATTAAGTTACTTGTACATGTATAAACAAGATATTAAGTGTTTAGTTAAGTTAAATCGAGTGCGATAAAGTACACACTCGCCTATGTAATAACAATTCAAGTGCCTAGCAATTTCTAGCAACAAGTTACATTTAATCAAATAACATGAAACATGCAGTTGAAACACTTACCACTTGACCTCACCAATTGGTCACCTTGGTTCTTTCTCTAGAACATTCTCAAGTCCTGTGATTATATAATCCATTAAGAGTCTAGCCACTTAAATCCAAGATGATGAGAAAATATGAGATTCGAAACTTCACTCAGCAATCACAGAAACTACAGGTTTAACCCTAATATTAGAAAATCAAAAGGGCCACGGCTTCTTGTTTAAATCAAGTTCTTATCAAATTCAAACCAAGTGAAATATTTCATGCATGCTAAGGTTAACACATCACTAAATATTTCAAATCAAAATATACAGGATTTAACCAAGGAAATTTAGGTTTAAAACCCAGAAAAGTTTTTTAAAGCTTTCCCAAGTCCCACCCAATCCATTTGATAAAATTCCCAACTTTGGTGACATTATTTGAAAAGGTATAACTTGAGTTTCATAGGTCAAAAAATCACAAAAGTTACATTGTTATAAAATAGACTCGAAGCACTAATAGACTTTAGATAACATCTTCATGAAATTTAGCTCATAGATTAGTCAATTTTTAGTTTAAAACTCACTGATATCACAATCGCAGAAACAAAATAGTCATGATTTTCAAGAAACTTTGCAGATTTACTGGTATTTATAGAAATTGAACCAAATCCTAAATTTATATCGTTGGAAGTTCTGTAAGTCTAATTTCAAACACAACAAATAGAACTCAATTCCGATTTTTCTATACGAAGTTATAGCCAATATCCCAAAACTGCACAGAGCTTTCTGCTAAAATTTCCAAATTTCTAACAACTTGAGAAAATAATACTTTTCTTAACAAAATCTCACTCCCTTGGCTCAAATTCAACACATATGTGAAGATTAAGGATTAACAAAGTATCTTAAGTAAAAACCTTACCAAAATCACCATAAATTTCTGGAAATCAAAGCTGAAAAATTCACAAACAAGTCAAGAAGAAATGAAAGCCTCCATAAAAGTCATCCCTTTTAATTTCTGTAACATCATCCATAAACTAAACTCCAAAGTAAAGAAAGAAAACTAAGGTTTCTAGCAAGATTCACCTCTTACCTTCAAATTCAATGATGACAAGCAAATCAAGAAGATGCAAGGCTTTTCTTCCTCCAAAAACTCCACCAAGAGATTCCCTCCAAACTTGATTCAAGGTTTATCGGAGTAGATTAGGGTTTTTTTTATTTAGATTTCTCACAAATTTGGATAAGAATCAAGACTAATTTTTTTTGTGGTTTTTTCCCTCTTTTCACCTCCCCAAATTCGTCCAAGGCCAAGGAACAAGAAAAAGAAATAGTGAAATGATAAGAAAAAAAACTTGGTCATGGTCAAGGGTCTTGGTCAAAATCACCATAATTTTCTGGAAATCAAAGCTGAAAAATTCACAAACAACTCAAGAAGAAATAAAAGCCTCCATAAAAGTCGTCCCTTTTAACTTCTATAACATCATTCATAAACTAAACTCCAAAGTAAAGGAAGAAAACTAAGGTTTCTAGCAAGATTCACCTCTTACCTTCAAACTCAAAGATGACAAGCAAATCAAGAAGATGTAAGGCTTATC